AGAAAGACAGTAAATGAGTCTTGAAGTAAGGATGTGAATAATTTATGTTTGATAAAGTTTGAAGCTTGTAATTGGATGAAGTTGAAAAATAGGGCCGGTTGAGCCTTTTGAGGTAAAAAACAAAAATAAAATTACATAAATAAGTAACATTTTCATCAAAAAGGTGTAAATTGGTTCAATTACATAAAATAACACTAGAAATATAAAGATTATATATAAATACCTCTGAAAATTGCAATTCAAAAAATATAAAAAATACATTTTTAAACTCACATATTTTAGAAAATCCAGTTTAGGTATGTAAATTACTTTTTAAAAACTTGTGATCATAAATATCATTTGAAATAAATTAATATTTTATCTTAGTTTTCAGTTTTGAATATTTAACAATATTATTCTTTTACCTTATTTTTGGTCAATGAAGTTAAACGTAGCTAAAGAAAGTTCTATGGTCAATAATCATTCTATATATAGATCTCGTGATTTCTTTTTTCTCACCATGAAAGATTTTTAATGCTGCCATTTAATTTAGATTTGGAAATATACTGCATAATCTAAGCAGTAGATGAAACATTAAATTTTAATTACATCTTTAACATAGGAATTATATTTTTAATGCATTCGATAAACTAGCGACGTATCCTTGGTATCTAAATTTATGCCATGTATTATTGATTCCAAAAGCACAAGCAACAGAGAAAATATAAATGTTAAACTTCATCAAAATAAAGAATTTTGTGCATCAAAGACACTATCTACAGAATGAAAGGCAACCCACGGAATAGAAGAAAACATTTGCAACTCATATAGCTCATATGGGATTGATACACATAAAGAATTCCTACAATTCAATAGCAAAAAACTAAAATCACTATTTAAAAACAAGCATAGAGTTTTAAAAGACATTTCTTCAAATAAGTTATCAAAGTGACCAATAGCATGTGAAAAGTTTACATCACTAGTATTTGGGAAAATGCAAACCAAAACCACAGTGAGACACAACCTCAAACCCATTAGGATGGCTACTATATATTTAAAAACAAAAAAACATAAAATAGAAAATAGCAAGCCCTGGTGAACATATGGAGAAACTAGAACCCTTGCACATTGCTAGTGGAAAAATAAAGTGATGTAGCCATTGGAAAATATGTCAATTCTTCAAATAATTGAATACAAAATTTCTATATAACCCAGCAATTTCCATTCTGAATGTATGCCCCAAAGAATTGAACACATCATTTGATATCCCTTGAACAGATATTGTACATTCACGTTTATAGCAACATTATTACAATAGCCAAAAGGTGGAAGAAATTCATATCCTTTGACAATGAATAAAGATGTTTTATATATATATAATATATTATATATTATATATATATAATGCAGTCTTAAAATTAAGGAAATTTGGTAAATGCTGCTACATGAATGAAATGCCAGGACATTATGTTAAGTGGTATAAACTAGACACAAAATAACAAATATTATATAATTCCTTTTATATCGTTTCTGGAGTAGTGAAATTCAGACACAGAAAGAATGGTGGTTTCCAGGGGCTGGGAGACAGAGAATGAATTGTAGGCATTTAATGAGCATAGAATTTCAGTTTTGAAAGATGAAAAACTTCGGGAGATGAATGGTGGTGATGACTGCACAACACTGTAAATGTATTTAATGACATCGTACTGTACAAATAGAAATAAAGTGGTAAATAATATATTTTACATATTTATCACAATTAAAAAAAATCTTACTAAATATTATTGAGAAAAAAGAACTTTAAAGAAATGGAGGAATATACAAGTTCTTGTAACAGTAGACTCAAAATTGTAAAGATTTCATTTTTTTATCAGTTAATCTATAGTTTCAGAGCAGTACCAGTAAAAGTCCCAAGACACCACTTTGTGTAAATTAGCAAATTGAATCTGAAAGTCACGGATATAGGTAGAATGCTAAGATAAACCAGAGAAATCTTAAAGAAAAACAACAAAGCCAAGATTTACGTTAGCAGATAATATGGCTATTATGATGTTTTAGTGATTAAAACAGTGTTGTATTGGGACAAGGACTGATAAATAAACCAATGAAACATTATACAGAATATGAACACATACATATATACAAATACATAGAGAAAAAGTGAATATTTACCCATATCTCACAAGATACAGAAAGATCAATCTTAGATACATACTGATCTAAATTTTAAGTTAAAAAACTAAACAAAACTTCTAAGCTTTAGTATAGAAATAGTTATATTATATACTATTAGTTATCATATAACTAGAGGCTATTTTTATATTCTTATGGTAGGTAAATGTTATTAAATAGGATACAAAGATAATATAAGCACAAAATTTGATTTATTGAGCTACTCTTAAACTTAAAAAATGTATTAAGAACATTATTAGAAGAGTGAAAATGCAAGTCATAGAGTGGGAAATTATTGGCAATACATGTGTTTGGCAAAAGACAAATATGTCACATTTTTAAAGATTTCTACTAATCAGCTAGAAAAAAGACAGATATCAACAGAAAAATAAATGAAAGGCATAGATCTTTGGCTGTTCAAAATGACTAGCAAATATTTAAATAATGTCAGATTAATTAATAATCAGATAAAGACAATAAAAAGAGTGTTTAAATATAATTTGGAGAATAGGGTGAAAAATAGTCTCAATAAAAAAATAAGTAAAGGTCATGAAAAGTCATTTTTTCTAAGGAAGACATGCAAATGGCCAATAGATATATAAAAACGTGCTTCACATCACTAATCATCAGAGAAATGGAAACCAAAACCACAATGAGATATCGTCTTATAACCTTCAGGATGACTATTATTAAAAAGACAAAAAGTAACAAATATTGACAAGGATGCAAAGAAAGGGGAAGTCTTACATTGTTGGTAGAAATGTAAATTAGTAAAACCTTTATGTAAAACAATATTGAGTATTCTCAAAGTACTAAAAATAGAGCTAGCATTCAATCCTACAATTTCCCTAGTAGATGTCTACTCAAAGGAAAAGAAATTAATATATCAAAAATATATCTGCACTTGTATGTTTATTGCAGCATAAATAAAAAATGTAAAACACACACACATAAAAACAAATTTGTTATTGTGATTCCCTTTGTGGAGGAAGAAAGTAGGATGAAAAAGCTTCTGAAGTCCAAAAATGCCTTCTTACTTGATGTCTTGATTATCAGAGTTACCTTTGTTTTATTTATTCATGTATTTTTACCTTTCTGAGTGCTAAGCTGCTTCACAATAAAAAATAATAATAATTTAAATAACCATCAGGAGGAAAAGTAAGGAAAGCTGATTTCTTTCTTTTTTTTTTTTTTTTTTTTTTGAGACAGAGTCTCGCTCTGTCACCCAGGCTAGAGTGTAGTGCTCACTGCAAGTTCCGCCTCCCGGGTTCACGTCATTCTCCTGCCTCAGTCTCCTGAGTAGCTGGGACTACACGTGCCGGCCACCACGCCTGGCTAATTTTTTGTATTTTTAAACAGAGATGGGGTTTCACCGTGTTAGCCAGGATGGTCTCGATCTCCTGACCTCGTGAACCGCCCTACTCGGTCCCCCAAAGTGCTGGAATTACAGGCGTGAGCCACTGCACTTGGCCAAGAAAGGTGATTTCAAACACTGTATACTTAAGTGTTTTCTAAAATTATATAAAAATAATAAAAATGGTCATTGCATAGATAGCAATAGGATATTTAGAAAGATTATCATTTTATGGTCATATATAATTTAGTGCATACTAAATGTGAGACCTGCTTATAAGTAGATAGATATTTCAAAAAAAAAAATCTTACTTGAGTTTAAGTTTATTAAAATGAAAATAATTTATGTGTTAAATAATGTGTGTGTGTTTATGTGTGTGTGTGTTGTGTGTGTGTGTGTGTGTTTGACATTCATTGCTTAAGTAAGCATAGTTTTTGATTTTGAACTACAAGCATTTGCATTTAAACCAAAAATATTTCACATTCTTCAAAACAGTGAAAAACAATAAGGGACTTTTTAAAAGAGAAAAAATAAAAATGTTTTAAAAGGAGTTTCTCTAGTAGAAATGTGGCCTAAGCAGCAATTTGACCTAATGTTATCATTTCCTTCTTGTAGTCATAAAAGAAAGATAAAAGCCGATCATGGCATTTCCAAAAATCCTAGAAAATGGCCTTGTATACTGGGGCTATCCTTTGTTAAACTAGCTTATCTTATATACATGGTGTTCAAAATGTAGAATCTTGATCGTGAGTAGTATAGATAAACAAATGTGTGTTAGAATATTTTTTAAACATATTGATTAAAAATAAGTTTAAAACATAGATGTGAATTCTACTGCATGTTAGAATAAAATAATAGAATATTATCTGGCTATTTGTTGAAACCACTTAAAGACTGGCTGAAATTGGTGGTTTCCATATGCCTCGGAATAAAAAGATAATTACGAAAGTAAAAAACAAAATACATATTGTGTATATATTTTTAAGATTAGATAACCATACTATCCTACTGGATGACATGATAATAATAAGACCATGTTCCTTTTGAAAGGTTAAGGGATAAAGAATTGTCACTAACTGATCTTCTCTCTCTCTTGTTGGTTGAGATCCACCATTGGGTCAACGACATATATGATGATGACAAAGCAAAACTTCTTTAGTTTAATAAATTATTAAAATATTTATAAAATAAATTATATACGAGCTAGATTTGGGATAGGATGTGTTGTGAAAAATGCCTAAGGTATTTTTCAAAGCTTATATATAATAAGTGTATTTTATGAAAAATCAAAATACATTGAGAAAATAAAAATGTGTACTGGATAAGAAACATTTTAATATTTCTAAATAGTAGAATTCGGTTGTCAGAACAAGTTTGAACCATCAATGGGAAAATTTTTGATAAACAATTACCCAGTGGCGGTTCTCTTTTATAAAGATTCCTCTCTTTGGTTATATTCTGGGAGAAATTTCAGCCAAATAAAAATAACAGAAATGTGTTCACTTCAGCAGCATATATACTAAAATTGGAATGATACAGAAAATATTAGCATGACCCCTGCGCATGGATAGCACACTAATTCATAAACTGTTCAATATTTTTTTGAATGGCTTGTTAAAAGAAAAACGAACAAACAGAAAACAACAATGATGACAACCAACATCAACAAAAAAGGACCCCCACAAAAATCCCATTCAAAGTCAGAAAGCTCAAAGATGAAATTTAGATAAGCCCACAAAGTTGAGAAAGAGCCAATGCAAAGATGCTGAAAACTCAAAAAGTCATTGTGCCTCTCCTCCACCAAATGACCACAACACCTCTCCAGAAGGGCACAGGGCTAGGCAGAGGCTGGGATGGCTGAACTGACAGAAGTAGGCTTCAGAAGGTGGGTAAATAACAAACTTTGCTGAGTTAAAGGAGCATGTTTTAACCCAATTCAAAGAAGGTAAGATCATAATTAAACAATATAGGAGCTGATAACTAGAATAGTCAATTAATAGAGGAACGTAACTGACCTGATGGAGCTGAAAAATACAAAAGGAGAAATTCACAATGCAGTCACAAGTATCAATAACAGAATAGACCAAGCAAGGGAAGGAATCTCAGCACTGGAAGACTACCTTTCTGAAGTAAGACAGGCAGAAAAAAATAGAAAAAAAAGAACACAAAGGAATGAACAAAACCTCTGAGAATTATCAGACTATGTAAAGAGACTGAACTTATGACTGATTGGGGTACCTGAAACAGATGGGGAGAATGGAACCTTGTTGGAAAACATACTTCAGGATACCATCTAGGAGAAATCCTCCTCCTGGCATGACCATTCTCCAACCTGGCATGACAGGCCAGCATTCAAATTCAAGAAATTCAGAGAACCCCAGTAAGATACTCTACTAGAAAATCAACTTTAAGATGCATAATCATCAGATTTTCTAAGTTTGAAATGAAAGAAAAAATATTGAGGTCAATGAGAAAGAAAGGTCTGGTCACCTACAAAGGGAAACCCATCAGACTAACTGTGGATCTTTCAGTGCAAACCCTACAGGCCAAAAGAGATCAGGGGCTAATATTCAGCATTCTTAAAGAAAATAAATTCCAGCCCAGAATTTCAAATCCAGCCAAAGTAAGCTTCATAAGGAATGGAGAAATAAGATCCTTTTCAAACCAGCAAATGCTGAAGGAATTTGTCACCAGCAGGCCTGCTTTGCAGGAGCTCCTGAAGGAAGCACTAAAGATGGAAAGAAAAAAAAAAAATTACCAGCCACTACAAAAGACACTGAAGTGAAAAGACCAGTGACACTATGAAGCAACCACACAAACAAGTCTGCAAAACAACAAGTTAGCATCATAATGACAGGATCCAATTCACACATCACAGTACTACTTTAAATGTAAATGGACCAAATGCCCCAATTAAAAGACACAGAATGGCAAGCTGGATAGTCAAGCTCCATAGGCATGCTGTCTTCAAGAGACTCATATCATGTGCAAAGACACACATGGGCTCAAAATAAAGGGATGGAGGGAAATGTACCAAGCAAATGGAAAACAGGAAAAACAAAAAACAAAAAACAGGGATAGCAATCCTAATTTTTGGAAAACAGACTTTAAACCAACAGTGTTCAAAAAAGACAAAGTCATTGCATAATGGTAAAGAGTTCAATTCATCAAGAAGAGCTAGCTATCCTAAATATATATATGCACCCAACATAGGAGCACCCAGATTCATAAAGCAAGTTCTTAGAGACCTACAAAAAAATTTAGACTCCCACACAATAATAGTGAGAGACTTTCACACCCCTCTGACAATATTAGACAGATTATCCAGGCAGAAAATTCACAAATATATTCAGAACCTGAACTCAGCTCTGGATCAAGTGGGCCTGATAGATTTCTGAAGAACTCTTCACCAAAAACAATAGAATACACATTCTTCTCATCACCACATGGCACTCAATCTAAAATTGATCACATAATAGGAAGTGCAAATGCCAAATGCAAAAGAACTGAAATAAAAACAAACAGTCTCTTACACTACAGCACAAACCAATTAGAAGCCAAGATTAAGGAGTCCACTCAAAACCACATAACTACATGGACATTGAACAATCTGTTCCTGAATGACTCTTGTGTAAATTAAGGCAAATGTTGAGACATTCTTTGAAACTAATGAGAACAAAGAGGTACCATACCAGAGTATTTGGGATACTGCTAAAGCAGTGTTAACAGAGAAATTTATAATGCTAAATTCCCCCTTCAAAAAGCTAGAAAGATCTCAAGTTAACAACCTAACATCTCAACTAAAGGAACTAGAGAACCAAAAGAAAAAAAAAATGCTAATAGAAGACGAGAAATAACTAAGATCAGAGCCAAGCTAAAGGAGATTGAGACAGGGAAATCCCTTCAAAAAACAAACAAACCCAGGAGCTGATTTTTTTGGAAAAAATAATAATAAAATATAGATAAACTGGCAGAAGAAAAGATAGAAGAATCAAACAAACACAATCAGAAATGATAAGGAGGATATCACCACTGGCCCCACAGAAATACAAACAACCATCAGAGAATACTATAAATGCCTCTGTGTATATAAATTAGAAAATGTAGAAGAAATGCACAATTTCCTGGGCAAATGCACCCTCCCAAGACTGAACCAGGAAGAAATTGAATCCATAAACAGACCAATAACGTGTTCTAAATTTAAGGCAGTAATAAATAGCCTACCAGTCAAAAACAGCCCAGGACCAGATGGATTTACGGCTGAATTTTACCAAAGGTACAAAGAGGACCTGGTACATTTTCCTCTGAAACTATTCCAAAAAATCAAAGAAGAAAGACTCCTCCCTAACTCATTCTATGAGGCCAGGATCATTCTGATACAAAAACCTGGCAGAGATACAACAACAACAACAAAAAATCTTCAGGCCAATATCCCTGATGAACATCGATACAAAAATCCTCAATAAAATGCTGGAAAACTGAATCCAGCAGCAAGTTAAAAAGCTTATCCACCACAATCAAATTGGCTCTGTTCTCAGAATGTAAGTTTAGTTCAACACATGGAAATCAATACATGTGATCTAACAAACAGAACTAAAGACAAGAAAAAAAAAAAAAAAAAAAAAAAAAAACATGATTATCTCAATAGATGCAGAACAGGCCTTTGATAAAATCCAACAACCCTTCATGCTTAAAATTCTCAATAAACTAGGTATTGAAGGGGCATATCTCAAAATAATAAGAGCTATATATCACAAACCCACAGCAAATATCTGACTGAATGAGCAAAAGCTGGAAGCATTCCTCTTGAAAAGTGGCATAGATGAGGATGCCATCTCTCACCACTCCTATTCAACCTAATATTGGATATCCTAGTCAGACCAATCAAGGAAGAGGAAGAAATAAAAGTTATTCAAATAGAAAGAGAGGAAGTCAAATTATCTTTGTTTGCAGCTGACATGATCCTGTATCTATAAACCCCACCATCTCAACCCAAAAGCTTCTTAATCAGATAAGCAACTTCAGCAAAGTCTCAGGATGTAAAATCAGCATGCAAAAATCGCTAACATTTTTAATAAACCAGCAACAGGCAAGCAGAGAGCCACATCATGAATAAATTCCCATTCAAAATTGCTACAAATGTATAAAATACCTAGGAATACAGATAGGAAGGAAAATGAAGGACCTCTTCAAGGAGAACTACAAACTACTATTCAGATAAATCAGAGAGAATACAAACAAATGAAGAAATACTCCATGCTCATGGTTAGGAAGAATCAATATTATGAAAATGACCATACTGCCCAAAGTAATTTACATATTCAATGCTATTTCCATTAATCAACCATTGACATTTTTCATAGAATTAGAAAAAGAAACTATTAATATTCATATAGAACCAAAAAAGAGCCCATATAGCCAAGTCAATCTTAAGCAAAAAGAACAAAGCTGGAGGCATCATGCTACCTGACTTCCAACTATACTACAAGGCTACAATAACTAAAACAGCATGATGCTGGTAAAAAACAGACACATGGACCAATGAAACACAATAGAAAACTCAGAAATAATATCGCTTACCTACAGCCATCTAATCTTGGACAAACTTGACCAAAATAAACAATGGAGAAATAATTCCTCATTTAATAAATGGTGCTGGGAGAACTGACTAGCCATATGCAGAAAATCTAAACTGGATCACTTCCTTACATCATATACAAAAATTAACTAAAGATGTATAAAGACTTAAATGTAAAATGCAAAACTATAAAAACCTCAAAAGAAAATCTAGGAAAAAGCCTTCATTATATAATCATGGGCAAAGATTTTACGACAAAAATGCCAAAAGCAATTGCAACAAAAGCAAAAATTGAAAAATGAGGTCCAGTTAAACTAAGCAGCTTCTGCACAGCAAAACAAATGATCATCAGAGTGAACAGACAACCTACAAAAGTTGTTTAAAAATTTGCAATCTATCTATCTGACAAAGGTCTAATATCCAGAATCAATAAGGAACTGAAATACATTTACAAAAAAAAAAAAAATCAAACAAGCCCATTAAAAAGTGGATGAAGGACATGAACAGACACTTCTCAGAAGAAGACATACATGTGGCCAAAAAATATGTGAATAAAAATCTCAACATCACTAATCATCAGAGAAATTCAAATTAAAATCACAATGAGATACTACCTCATGCCAGTCAGAAACAGGCCGGGTGTGGTGACTGATGCCTGTAATCCAAGCACTTTGGAAGGCCAAGGCAGGTAGATCAACAGTTTGAGACCCGCCTGGCCAACATGGTGAAACCCTGTCTCTACTAAAAATACAAAAACTAGCTAGGCATGTTGGTGTATGCCTGTGATTCCAGCTACTCCGGAGGCTGAGGCATAAGAATCACTTGAACCCAGGAGGCGGAGGTTGCAGTGAGCCAAGAGGCACCTCTGCACTCCAGCCTGGGCAACAGTGAGATTCCATCTCAAAAAAACAAACAAACAAAGTTGAGAAACAACAGATGCTGGTGAGTTTGTAGAGAATAAGGAATAGTTTTACACTGCTGGTGGGATTATAAATTAGTTCAACCATTGTGGAAGATAGTATGG